GAGGCATGCGAGGGGCAGCGGTGGCGCGAGAGGAGCAGATGTGTGAAAAAATCAGCAGGGTGACAAGCCGCCTCAATACTATGTTGGCTCAGACGAGCGCGCGAAAGACTACAGACTGTAGTACATGTGATGGAGCCAGAGGCCTCCAAAAACTTTATTTACGTTGCTCCATAAACTGCACGCCTGTTGGAGATAATCGGCGATCGCCGGCGTTCGATCAAGCTGTTATCAAGAGAACTTCCTTCGGCCTCCATAAGGAGCTGCACGCTTTGACAGGACCACTAGATGACGCCCTCACATCAGGATTACCGCAAGACACTACCAGAACACTGGAACCAGCTGGTACACTGGCTCCTCGCCGCCACCTCACGACCTTGGGCCTGACTGTGCACCCACAACCCCTCTTTTCGTCGATCATCGACGCAAGGGGCTCACGGCGTCTCACGTCACTGAGGACGTATCCAGGCATCGGTGAGCCATGCCCTGGTGAGCCACGTCGTTTTTTCACGCCGCCGTCGGCTATACACGGACAGGGCCCCATCCTCGTACCCTCACGCAACGCCTAGGCAGGCTCCACGCGCACCCCACCAGATGCCCCATATGACGAGGGAAGCTGCTGGAGCCTTCACCATTGTTTGCGAGTGCGTGTCAGTGTTGCAAAGGCCCGCCACCTTTCCTCGACGTCACGCGAGGTTCCAAAACGATACAACACGCCACGACTTTGGCTTTAGCACACTCTGTGACACCTCAGGACAATACTGAGGGCGTTTTTGAACATATTATTAGGGTGTGCACAGTACCCCCTCACATATTTTCTGAGCTGCCATCGACACTTTCAACATTCTCTCTTCGTGCAGTGAGGCTGACAAAGTCCATAAACAGATAAATCCATATGCATACTTCTTTGCAATGAAAAACGAGGGGAACATTCTATTGGCCTACATACGAGTATTTGTATATAGATGTCGGAATTACAACCTCTTATGTTAGCCCGCACCACGATACGCGACGGGGTTGGGAGTTGAAGACTAAATGTTTTCCGAACAACGTAGGTTATCCAGGAACGCCGCCGTAATACCCTGCAAGTCGCCGGTGGGGTGGTCTTTTTCCCCGGCATGGGGACAGGTTTTGTTCGCCCATAAAACCATTGGGGTGGTTTGCCTTTGAAGTCTTCCGCCTCTTTATACACCAACACTAGCACTTCCGCATTAGGGTTCAACACCCCTACCGCCTATTGTTATTTCTGCTAGTTTTGGTGCGTGAAGCACGATGAGATGACTCACTTGCAGGGCGGCAGATGGTAAAATTGGGATTTTTGGGATACATTTGAGCTTGACACTGAAGCTGTATAGGCAGTACTTATTGTTGTAGGAATGGAAATGCAAAGAAGATTGGTTCTGCCTGTCATTATTTACGACTCCTAAAGCGAGATCGCGACTCCTTTGATTTGTGTCGATTCCAAGCTTGCCTCTTGTCATTAATCGTTCGCCACACGCTCCTATTTTTTCGGCAACCATAATCGGAGAGCAAAAACGATCTGCGTCATCGTGCCTCCTCCCATGTCATTTTTATTCAAGTTTTCTGAGTGAATGCATACATATGCCGCTTCAGGAGCCAGGATTCAGTTCAGTAGTGTAGTTTGCTGTGAGATGGGTTACGAGCAGAATGACTTTGAATTAAATTACCTCTGGTTCTTCCCGTGATCATTGATATAAATATCAGGCAGGAGGCAGCTCTCTGCCTGTGATCAAGGGCTCAAAAGGTCAAAAATTGGACGACTAAAATTTTACGTATGATGGGGTGGGAGATTCGAACTCCCGCCCCCAAGATGCCAAATATACTACTGTGGCGCCCTAGTCCGGCGCATGAGACCGCTGGGCCATCTCACCATGAAATGGGTCAGTGCTATGTGTTTTTGATTCATTAAATATCGGAGAACCGAAGGAAATGGCTCAACTGGTGATATCTTGAACGAGTCGCGCATCGAAGGGGCGGGGGGTATGATATAAACTAAATACAAACTACTATCCACCATTTGACGCGCCAAGGTAAACTTAAAATTAGCCCATTCCATTGGAATGTCCAGACTCCACCGTATTTAAATCCAGGGGCACACTTCTAATGAGTACTCTGGAGTCTGTAGGCGCGGCCTTTGATCACAAGACATCCTTGGATATTGTAGGAACTAAATTTTGGACGGCTTCATGTAAATTTCCTTTTTGCAGCCTGGGGAAATTGAATGAATTCATACATGTGGCCATTTGCTCCAAGGCCTCGTTCAAGAAAGGAAGTTTTTCCGGTACAGCCTAACAGGAGTGTGCAAGGGGTATAGAATCTGACGTTGGCCGACATATTAACTTGGCAACAGAGTGCAAACCAGCGAAGACAACGAAGGTGTATTGGAACCAGTGATTAGCTCTACTTAATCGAAACTACTTTGGTGACAAATTTTGGGAGTGACTTAGCGATATATCACACTGGTAAACTAGCAGAGAGAATTATGATATGCCCACACGACTGGAATGCGAGCACCCCTGAACATGTTCCACGGAAAAGAGGTTATATTGGAATTTGTGGACCGTGGTGGAATTCATATATTCCTCATAATCGTCCTCCATCACGGGCAAAATGATCAATGATCTCCCAAAAACATCAAGAGCCGCATCGACAAATGCCTTACATGAAGGCGCGGCCTAGACAGATAGTGGGAGTGGGGACATCCTTTTGAATTATTGATTAAAAAATGGTTCGTCGGCGAGAAGGGGCCCTAGGTATCCTCGTTCTCAAGGAATCACAAGCGGACTTCGCGAAGTCGTGTTCAGAGGACTGATACATGCGAGGCAAGTGTTGTATTGTTCACGGGAGTCTTGTCTATCAGTGGTTAAAGTCCTGGTAGGAGACGTTTTATCCACAATGCCGTATATTAGCAGATGTTCAAGTAGTGTGAGCGAGGATGGAAGAGTTCAGAAGTAAAATGAAGTGGGACGGCGATGCAGACTCTGACGAATGAACGTAATGGCAACACACTCGATTTCTGTAATTTCTTGAACGACATTCTTGGCCAGTTAAATAAATTTAAGAGCCGTCTTATTTCTCTAGAAGGCATAGTATCCCATTTAATTATGCGTCGTCTAGCCATCCCCAATGGGTACAGCATCGAAAACTCAACCGGGCCTCCTCACTCATCCATGGCTACGTCATTGAGCTTCAGAAGTAGGTCGTTGTGTACGTGAGCCATTGCAAAAGCAATATTTGACTTTGCTTATCCTCACATAAGTCCCTAGTTTGACCCTGTAAACTGATAACCACGAATAACAATGGATCAAGGAGACTTGTTTCAACGGCTGTTCTCGCTTCCACGGTCGCCCCGAGGTTGAACAAAAGCGCGGCATTGAGGTAGCAGAAGGATCAGGGGCCTCCGTCTTCGTTTATGTGTACGTTCCACGGCTTAATGCTAGTCGGGCACTAACCTAGAGCCTCCCAAATAGTTCGAGGTGCAACAACTCCTAAACTCCCTGGTCTCTCACAAAGCAATTCAAGGAGTTCCCTTACTTTGACGAAATCTGCAGGAACAACTGTCTCCGCACCCAAACTCACCACGAAAGCCGCGGCCACGCCCACCCGACCACCACCGCGGCCATCATCCTCAGCTTCCACCGCCCCATCAAGATGCGCAGTCAGGCGCCCCCATCTGTCTTAGCTGCCCCTGCTCCCTCTGATGCCTCGGCAGATAAAAACAGCACCAAAGCCGCACGCCCTCCACGCCCCAGCAGCGTCGCCTCCCTCAATACCAATCCCTCAATCCAGCCACGCACCAATAGCCAACAGGAGTGCAGCTCTACGTGCAGCAAAGCAGGAGGTAGAGAACCTGGCTGCTGCCGCTGCCGCTGCGAAGAAGAAGAACCCTAGAGTCTCAAGAGTCGCGCCGTCAAGGATTGCTGCTGTCTTGTCTTTTCCGGGTGGAATGTACAAGTTATTGTAATTTTTTTCTATGTCATATCTATATCCATCTGTTTCGGTGCTTTGTAGTTGGGAGATCTTCATTTCCTGGGAAGGAGCCAAGTTGACTATTTACAAACCGTTGAGTAGGACCCATACCCTTTTATGTTCTCATTTCGTGTAGAGAATATGATTTCATCTTTTAATGACAAGATATAGCCTAGCCCCTGTTCTGTTTACGATGCACATGCAGCAGTAAGAAAAAAGACCTATGCATCATTTCGCGTCCTTCCACCCAAGTTCCGAACTATTCATGCCCCGGATGACTGTTAAGGGTGACTCCTCCAAAAACTATTCTTCAACACGGCAGCCACTATTATCGCGTTCCCGGGACAATCGAAGACAGTGGAGGAGGCCTGGTGTTCCGCGCACACGAGGGTAGCAAGCAAGCGGCATTGTTGCGGATGGGCGGTGAATAGTGGTAAATCGAGCAAAGGGTACTCGACGACCTAATTCAGTTGTAGATATGATGGCCTTTGCAGTGACATACGCAGGGAAGCAAGGATGTTGAGGTAGGTCATACGCCATCAAGCGTAGCTCGCATAGTCGAGGGCTCCATTCACACAAGCGGCCTTGCCACTGGTCTATTGGTCACCTATGTCCAGGCTATCACGGTAAGCCCCAGTGCAAGAATGACGACACAATGGGCGCAATGGGCGTAGCAAGACAAGTGGACAAGGTATTGCTTAACACATAATCCAAGTATGAGGTGAGGGTCTGTAACCGAGTCATCCAAACATCAGAGGAATGAGTCGCATGAGTGCATGGCACGAATTCCGAAGTTCATATATCATCCAAAGGCCGAGGACGTTGGGATGCGGACGTTGGTGGTACATAATTTGAATTTTCACAATCGCCTAACAATCTTATCTATATATGTGGGGGTGACCGTGGTTGTGATCAGTTTTATGTGTCCCGAATGGTGTCACTTGCTCCACTCCCTCTACCATGCCAGTCGGCATTGAAGCTTGGGTGACCCAAATTCCGCCAATAACACGCGGCTGGCTCGCGTTGTCTGTTCTGACTAGTTTGGCTGTAGTATGTGACTTGAATTTCTCACTTTCAAGCACAGCGCTGACAGCTGCTCCAGCACTATAGCCCTAAAAGCGCATTTAGTAATGCTCAGGTGCGGCTTTGACCTGAGTCGAAATCGTGTCTGCAATTAAAAGGGAACAGGTATGGCACGCAGCGACGACGTTCTTCTATTTTGGACCGATAACCTTGGACTTTGTCTTCCATCTCTTTTTCTTGTGAGTATGGGCTCAATACAACACCAGATGTAACTTACAATATCTCTACTACAGCATGCGATACAGTCGTATGCTCGAAGAGTCTTCTTTTGCGAACCGCAAAGCAGATTATTTTTGGCTTCTCTTCCTGTCCTCCATGCTGCTCGTGAGCACCTCTTAATGTCTTCGCCATCTCTCTCTGACATACTTTTGTCTTACCACAGATGCACTCTCCCCTATTTAACCTTCCCTTCCTCTCTTCGTCGCTTGCCTTTGTCCCGATCTACCTTGGTTCTCGGCGACATCCTTCGACACCCATCTCGCTCTTCGGTCTGATTACTATTACTGCACCATATCTCCCTGTAGCCCTTGTCACTTTTTCTTGGGTTTTAAATGGCACATGGAAGGCCGCGGCAGGCGATCTAGTCGGCCGTGCTGTGGGCCGCATTGGATAGTTTATGCGGGACGTCTGGACACGTGAAATGGTCGGCGGGAAGTCGTTTTTCAGCGAGCCGCCTGTAAGACTGTGAGTCTCTCTCTTTCCAATGAAAAATGAGTATAATGATTCTGATGCAATCTAAATTACAAAAAGCAGCTATTTGGGGAGGCTTGAGACGCCCTTGTACATACACCTGTATATTATATATGTTGATCCATCGGGATGTGTTCTCAAATCCACCCATCTTGGAGCAAAGCAGAAGCAAATTGAGTACATAGTGCCAAGACGCAAACGAGCTCCAACACTGACAGAGGCAGGCTCTTCCTGAGCACTTGGGACGACTGGGACCTAAATATTCGCCTTGTCATAACTGTTTCGACGGCCAAGTCATAGATCAGAGAAATTTGGAGAGGCGAGAGTCGCCACTACCCTCCTTGATCCCTGGCATGGCTGGCTTTGTCCGTCGGCGCGAGCTCCTTGCGGCAGAGGGGTCTGATGGTATTAGCTGCACAGGTGGGAAGACGTATTCCCCCTCTACATGCTGCATTGCGTGATGCATCTCGTACTGCGCTATCTGTATGGAGCTCGAGTCTTTGGTTGGTGTGGGCGGCGGCCGAACACGGTTCAAGACTGCAGGTGGCGGTGATGGGCGACCCTTCGTGGGTTGATTCAAAATAATGGGCGGCTCTCTGAGGTTGTCGGGTTCATGCCCAATGAGGATGATCAATATGAGGATGGTTACTATGCCTGCAAAGATCATTTGGGGAAAGCATCTGATGGTATGTGAGCAGCCAGCAGAAAAGTTCAGCAATGTCAACGACTTAGGTGGGGCGAAAGGAAACTGCACCGATTAAGACGCCTACAGATAACGATGGCCAATTTTCCTCACATCACGATGGAGAAAAGTAGACGCAAGACTAACCATCGAAGCCCGGAGCATCAGGCATACTATTCCTCATTTGTGGGATCGCGATTAAGATCGCCCCAACGGAGAGTAGGTTCTTGAAGATGGGACAGACATCGTCAAGCCTTTACACATGAATACAAGCCCCACTGTGGCATGCGCCATCATCCAATTCAGGGCAAAAAGGGTAAGTGCGAAGTTGCATGTTGACGTTGGTGGCGCCACGCGCATGTCAATATCATGGCTGGCATAGGTTACGGTTCCAGTGCCCGCTGGAGAAGTTGAGTAGGTTTCCGAGTCGTCAATGTCAATGTCAAA